TCAGCCTGGAGAAGAGAAGGCGAAAAAGGGGAGACCTCAGAGCCCCTTCCAGTGCCTAAAGGGGCTCCAGGAGAGCTGGGGAGGGACTCTGCATCAGGGAGGGGAGCCACGGGATGAGGGGGAACGGTTTTAAACTGAAAGAGGGGAGATTGAGATTAGGTATTGGGAAGAAATTCTTCCCTGTGCGGGCAGTGATCCCCTGGGGCAGGTTGCCCAGAGAAGCTGTGGCTGCCCCATCCCTGGAGGTGTTCAAAGCCAGGTTGGACGGGGCTTGGGGCAACCTGGGCTGGGGGGAGTGGCCCTGCCCAGGGCAGGGGGGTTGGAACGAGATGATCTTCAAGGTCCCTTCCCACCCAAACCATCCCGTGATTCCGTGATTCTATGATCCTCTTCACAATTCCTGGAACCGCCCGTCCATCCCAGTTACTGCCTGACGATGGGGCAGGGAGGTACGGAGGTATGGCAGCCCCATAAATCCAAACCCCACAGCGGTGCGGTTGACAAAGAGGAGTGCTGGGGGCGCCGGGAGCCCCGGACGGCACTCGCTCTGCCCGGCGCGCGCAGCGGCCACCTTCCGCCTTCGGAGAGCGGCTGGGCAGCGCCGGCTAATTGGGAAGCTGTGATTAATGGGTAGTGCCTGTTTCTGACACAGGTGGTGTTTGCGCGCATTAAAGCGACTGCCTTTATGGAGGTTTCTCTTATTGAATTATAGGGAATGGGCTTGATACCCCCGCAGCCTCGGGATATCAGACCACAAGGTAGCAGGAGCCTCTCCGTCCCCTCCTCCCCCTCTTCCCTTCTGCCCCGTTTTTGGTTGTTTTCTTTCAGGGCGGGCGGATTTACAGACGGGACTTTTTTTCTTCCCGGCGCTTCCTCTGATTATTTTGGTTATTTCTTCCCTTCCCAGCTGGTTTTGCAGCCGCTTGGCGGACTCCACGTGCCTCCCCGTCCGGCGGCGCTCGCCGGTGCGGGTTGTTGGCTCCGAGCCCCGCCGCACACCGCGCCGCGAGACGCGCCGAGCCCGGCTGATATGTTTAATTCATAACCGCTGCCTTAATTGAATAATCTGATTTAATCCGTCACTCGGTGCGTGATCCAAACAGTCTCCAGAGGGGCTCGGCCCGGAATACGAAGGGAAGGTGCGCTCTGGGGTGGGGTGGTGGGGACGGCCGGGGGCTGC